TAGAAGCTAGTTTAAAAAATAACCATCAGTGGAGGATTTAGCTCAGTACTTGCCTGGTAAATACAAGGATGTAAATTCAATCCCTGGTACCAAAAAATCAAGATTCTTTTTAAAAAGTTACATTTGAATGACTGATTGACTGATTGAATTTTTTTTTGAGACAGGGTCTCCTTGTGTAGTTTAGGCTGGCCTTGAACTTACTATGTAGCCCAGGATGGCCTTGAATGTATGGTGATCCTTCTAACACATGGTTAAAAACTGTATTTTAAACAGAAGGCACTGTAGGATGATTACTGTTGTCTTGTGGACACATTTGCTAGATTTAGAAAAATCTATGAAATTATGCATTCAAAGGTTTTTACTAACACATTAAATGGAGAGAATCTGTTTAAAGAAGGATTCTATCATTAACTGCCATAAGAATTTTTCATCTAGTTTAGTGGTTCCTGCCCTTTTAAACTAGTAGCCCCTTTGCATAAAATTATATATGCATTCCTTTCTGCCCTAAAAAAAAATCTTAGATTCAAAATACAGTCTACCTTTCTGCACATGCCAGGAGCCAAGAGGATTTTGCTGTAAATGCTACAGAGACTGTAAAGCTGAAAAGTCCTAAATATTTACTAACTGATCCTTTTCAAGAAGTATGTAGACGCCTGCTTCAGGCAATGCAGTTTCCATCTGGAAGTCAGATGGTCAATACCAATCCATAGGTTATGTGGATGTTACCTGTGATTCTGCTGTAAGTAGATCCAAATCAAGCCCAATTTAATTCTCATTTAACCAATATTTACTTATCGGGACTACTAAGTGACAGTCTCAGCTTGGGGCTGGGTTTATAGTAATGAACACAGCTGGACTCTTTTTTCCTAGAGGAATCAGTATATGAACAGTTTCAACACAACACAGTAAGACATCAGAGTCAAATTTGAAGTTTTACTCTTCCTATGAAGTATACCATGGGAACCTGACCTTTATACTTTTAAAGCTTTGAATTTTTAAAGCTACAACCATGGGCTAAGATTTCTTTTTGTCTTTTTTTCTTTCAACATAAATACTAGAGATGAAACTCTTAATTCTGTGAAATTGCCCATTAACTTTTGCAGAAAAGATCAATTTATTGTAATCTTTTATAATTGCAAAATTTGCTCTGGGCTCTTTAATATACAATTCTGATCTCTGTTTTGAGAACAGAAAAGAGACAAGGTATTGAGATATGAGGGAAACATGGCCAGTTAAAGTGCCAGGCTCCTATTTTTTAAGATTGGGTTTTTAAAATTCCAACTCATGTTAACAGAGTCACATACTAATCTGCTGAAACAGCCATGAGGGTGGAGACAATGTCCAGCTTCTCAACCAAGATTTCATTATCTAACACTTGTCTTTGCAATACCCACTACAAATCAAGATGAATTAAGAGAAAAACCAATTTCTACATCCCTTGGATGTAACAAAAATGATTATCCTTAGGCGGAGCAAAAGACAGAAAACAACAGGGGCCGCTCCACATCTGTGTATCTGCCCTGCCCTCATATCTGTTTATTTGTACCAGTTATTGACGTTTTTATATCATACAAAGGTGGTTTTTTATTGAGCTTCAAAAGTAGAAACAGGATGTATTCGTTTCTAGGGAAACCTGAGCTTGGAAGCTCTTGGGTTTTGAATCACAGACCACATTCTTACACACAAGGTGGCCCATTGTGTAGTGACATCCCTTCCTCCTCATTTACCTCATCCCATTTAAAAAAAATTAATCCAACAATGGGAGATGATTGTTGATGCTCATTATTAAGTCATTTATTCATCCCACACAATGATTCAGAATTATTCATTAAACCTGATGGAAACAATCAGAGCTTTACCTCCATCGTGGTATGGGGAGGGATGTGTTCTTTTAAAGGATATTTTATAACAACAAAATTATCATAATTAAAAGCTACCCTAATCGTCTGATGAGCTTTTGACATATTTTTGAGTATTGACATTTTAGCACAAAGAGATAAATGAGACTGAAATAGTACTAGGGAATAATATTGCTGTGTGTATGTTGGAGGAGGAGGCACATTAAATATCATCTGCCATCATCACCTCCAATGTTATCCAGATCTTTAAGCTAACAAACTTTACAAAATATGTTTTGAACTTCTGGCTTTGAAAATGAGTCCAAATTGTGTTGTAAGCCCAGCCATGACCTGTGTTCTTAACTGGGTATGTAAATATCTGCGTGGAGCCTGCCTATGTGTGCCTCCCAACCTGGTAGGTCATTCGGGACCTGAAAGACCCAGAATTGGGTCTTTTGGACATGGTTTATTCTGTGTCTGAAGGTCATTAAGCAAAGGGCTTAGCTTGACAAGACATCCAAAATGGTAGTTGACTGTAGGAAGGCTCCTAGCTCTCTATTTTCCTTAGTTAAGCAGACAGGTAAAGATCCTAAGATCTCATACTCCTAGTGATCTCATACTGAAGGTGATACCCGGGGAAAGAGGGAAGAAGACATTGGGGGAAGGAGAAACTGATTGCTGAGTACCCTGGAAGGTTGGCAGGTAGATCAGGGCAGAGGGATGCTCTGGAGGCTTTCCCTAGGACTAGATGCCATGGAAGCCATGGGACTGGATGGGTGGGGGGCAGGTGGTCTGGAACATACAGTGGAAAGACTGTGTTAGCAGCTTCATGGGAACCTAGATTTGCCCTGTGCTCTGCCAGGCACAGGGTGGGTGCTTGACAACTAGTACACCATGTCAGCCACTGAGTACAGAAGTGTGCATCAAATACTTCTACTCCTTCATTCATTTCACAAAATGTATGAAGCTTCACTATGAGCTAAGACCTGAGCCAGGCCTTCCAAATGCAGAGGTGAGCAGAACAATTTCCCTGCCCTTAAGGTGCTGAGAGTTTAGGGAGGGCTTTAAACACATGAACACTTAAAAATCCACTGACAAGCATGGTATCAAGGAAAGCTGAGAAAGAATGAGGTAAAGGGGGATGTCACACAGATGGAGTCAAGGCTGAGTGGGCTTGGCTAGGCGTCATGATGTGGAGGAGGCCGGAGGGCAAAACAGCAATTTCTAGAATGGAGAACTGGGTCTCGCCCTGGGTTGGGGAAGTCAGGACCCTTCTTGTGGTTCCTTTGGGTTGCTAGGAGGGAAATGAGCAAGGCTGGAGCAGCATGCCCAGATCAGAGATGCCACTAGAATCCAGTTGAAACAGTGGTGGCTGAAAGAAGAGGATGGGCCGGATAGAAATTAAAGAGGTAGACTTAAAATTGACATGAAATAGCAGAGTCCTGGCAGACAAGAAGGACCATACTGGACATACAGTCATCAGGATGTGGGACCTTATGCCATTACAAGTGGAGAAAGGAAGCTAATCCCTACTATGCCTTTCTTTTTAAACCAAGTAAATCCTGATTATACTTTGGCTTTTCATGTAGCTCTATTCATGGGAAGAGGCTATCGCATGGATGGGGCTGAAGGAGGGCTCTGTCCTACTTTGATTCATCAAGTTGGTACTAAGACTTGTGGATACTCTGGAGTTATAACTATGGGTGTGGAGATACTCCTATACTGTGAGCCTGCAGGGCTGCTGGCTCCTATGTGATATCATGCCCCATTTTGGGTCTCTTGATATGTGGGCATCTTCCTAATACCACAAGGTGGTAGTAGCAACATGTGCTCTGCCTTTAGATGGGAAATCCAGATCATGTGCTTCCCAAGGCTTGGTCTACAAGAGTGGAAAATGAAGAACAGCCAGGACATGGCATCTGCATGGCTCGTCATATGCTATGAAAGGAATTGTGTCAGGGGCGTTAGATATTCTCCTAGCTTTCCTCTCTGTTGCAAAATAGCCTCTATAGTGGAGCTGATTCCACTTTGCCACTTTACTTCCCTGGCATCAGAATAGATTTCTGCACCAGCTAAAGCATGGAATAAAATTTCAAGGGCCTTTAATAGAAGTTTTCTAACTCTGTCTCTATGTAACAGTTGAAAAGTATCTCCAATTATGGCAGCCTTTTGTAAAATATTTCAGAAACACAGAAGGGCCTATTGTACCTATTTTAAGTATATAAAACACATTTAATACTCAAAGAAGAAAAGAAGGGAAACAGGACTTTAAAAAAACGAATGCTTACTCCTGGGTCAGGTCCCCTTCCTTTTTTCACATAACAAATAAAAGAAGATAACTTATTTCTGAAGTGTTTTTAATTAGAAAGCCTTGGAAAGATCTGAAAGGAGGAAATAGGACCAGTTGTCAAAGCTGGAATTTTGCTGAGACCCTATAACTCGGGGCTTTCAAAAGGAAAGATGAGGTGAGGGCTGAGACAAGAAAGTGCAGCATTGGAAGCTTGAGTTTCACTTCACAAACAGGTTGTCTCCATTTTAGTGAGTATGCAAAGTCTGTCATATGTATGACTGGCTAGAAGTCTACAGCAGGATAAGATCAGCCTACACACTTTTCCTTCTCCTGAGTCAAGTAGGGAACTTAATCCATCTCACTGGAGGCAAATCGAGGAGGCCCAGGACCTGCCTATCAAAGCCACAGCTCCAGATTTCCTGGGGGACACCTGACTTATGCTGGTGGGAAGCTCAGTGCTTCAATTTCAGCTGGCCCTGAGCTAGTTCCTCTTTCCTAGAGAAATGAAGAAAAAGACATCTCTGGCTCATGACATGACCTAAGGCACATGCAACTATATTCAGATCTAAGCTGTAGCCCCCATGTGGAAAATCTCCATCCTCATCTGGGAGCAACTGCCACACTTTTATAGGCTAGCATGGCTACAGCCTATCCTAAATGCTTGTTTTATTCTTCCCAACAATTCTATAAGAGAGCTATTACTGTTACTCTACCAGTAAGGGAACAAAGGATTAGAGAGCTTGTCCACAGCCACACAACTAGTGAATGGTAGATCTTGGAGTAGAGTCCAGTTCCATCCAAAGCTTCCCTCTTTGCCAGGTTGCAGAGGTGCTGGTGAAGGAGCTGCTCCAGACTCCCATTCTGGGACCTACCTGCACCAGAGAGCTTGTCGGCCAGCTCCACGCGCACAGCCTTGGTGAGGTTGAAGTAGTCATCATCCTCATCGATGCTGTGCAGGAACAGTGGGATATGCTGGAAGACGATGGCATGCCGGCACTTCCGTTGTCGTGCGATGCTCAGCTGCTGGTCCAGCCAGCAATCCTGGGCCTGCTTCAGGGCTGGGCACTGGGAGGCATCGTACCAGAATTGCGAGTTGAGCACCAGGAACAGGACACCCCCAACCCAGAAGCTGAAGTAGTCATCTCCCCACGTATGGTGGAACTCCTCGATGGTCTCGGCTGTGGGGACGTTGCCCAGGTCATGGTTGCCACTGACAAGGACCAGTGGGATCTCTCTGTCAAGGTCTTTGAGCACCCGCTGCAGGTCCTCAGTTTGCTCCTTGCGCCAGGGGGTCCCTGGAAGACCAAAGGTCACATTTTAAGAGGCCTAGAGGCAATTCATGTATTTACTAACAAAGTTAAGATAGAGAATAATCTGGAAATTCACTCAACAAGGTACATACAAACTCTAAGCATCACCTGCTAAAAACAAATCAACTAGTGAAGTAGGTACTTCTGTCTGTCCCTCTGCACTGAACCCTTCCCACTTTCCCCAGGACACCTTGGGATTCAGTATCTGTGTGGCCATCTGTCCCATCCTGCTGAGTGTTATAGTTTATATCTAGATGCCCTCCTAAAGTCTCATGTGATCGTAGATGGGACCTTTGGAACAAGTCTGAATTATCTGAAAATTCTGCAAGATGCATATGCCTACTGATCAAGCATTTGGTTTCTGGGACTTTGTCCAGTAAGGTACTGACAAGTCTGCAAGGCCATACAAATGATAAGAAATAGCCATCTGTGGATCTGATGTTCAAAGCCAGATACACACATTGCAGGGGAGCCCATGATTCACCACTCAGATAGCAGAAAAGTTGTAGCATCTATATTTTACTTTTCATAGAAATGAAAGAAATTAAGTTTCACTAATATTTTATATCAAGATCAAATCCATACTTTACTCAATGTCTTAATCACATTCTTCTTGCTGAGACACAATACCCAATGCTCACAAATTAAAGAAGGAAAGGTTTATTTTGACTTAGTTTGTAGAGAGTTTAGTCCATAATTGGCACAGTAGACTTGTTAGCCAGGAATCAGAAAGCCAAGGGTGATATAACTTCCTGAGTGGTACCCACAGTGGCCTAGCTAACACTTAGGAATTTTTAAAAGGCTTGAAGTTACTCATGTATGAAACATTATGGATAAAACACCTCCAAAGATTAAAAAATCTGACTCTGGTTAATTATGGGAAATAGAAAAGGGGAGGGGAGAGACTCTTTATGTCTGTCCTCCCTCCCTCTTTCCTTTATTAGGTACTGACTAGTTTTAACGTACTGATAGTTACTGGGGATAAGCTGAGAGTCAACTAGACACAAATTCTTCCCTCCAAACTGGGGAGTTGGATAATTTACCAACTGAATTACAGATGTTCCCTCACCCCATCTCTGATGTCATTAAGTGTTACTGAGAAAAGCAAAGCAGGATAAGGATATTACTTCCTGCACCATGCTAGTCCTGAGGGACATACTTGGTATCAGAGAGGCAAAGACAGCACAAGAAAAATGATGGAAAAAAGCAGGCACATTTCCCTAGTGATGATGAAAATCTACCTGAAAAATGATGTATAAGTGATGAAAATTAAACCCAACATTCATCATGAATTAAAAAGAAAGCTGGAGTGACTGTAGTTGAGAACAATTTATTGTGTATTTCAAAATAACAAGGGAAGATTTTCAATGTCTCTAACACAAAGAACTGATGATTGTTTAAGGTGATGGCTGTGCTTGTTACTCTGATTTGGTCATTACACATTGTACATGTGAATCAATACATCACAGTATACTCCATAAATATAGACAATCATTATATGCAGATAAAAAGTAAAGATAAAAAAAGAAAGCAAAAAGTCCTTATGAAGCAAATACAGCTAAGAAAGATCCTAAGGCATAATTAAAAGAAATCAGAATCCCTACAGATATAAAACAGCACATGTGAAACAGGAACCTCTAGAACTCGGGAAAGAAATGGAGGAAAAAGACAAAATCAACTTGGAAATTACATCTGCAAAGAGATTGCTACTATAAAGATTTCCTTTACGGTCAGGCACATGCCAAGTGCTCTGCGGATCCTAGGTGAGCTTGTGTCTTTCCTAACTGTTGGGCACCAAGATCCTCACATTCCCAACCAAATTCCATGGTATGGTCTAAATCTCCCATATTATTATTCTTTGCTTTGGGCCTATTGATATGCATTAGTTTCTGAGAGACTTGGTTAAATTGCCACTGTGATTGTGGATTAATCTTTCTTCTTGCAATTCTGCCAGGTATTTATTTATTTATTTATTTATCATCACACTGTGAGATGTGTAAGAGTCCAGAATTTCAATATCTCATTGAAATGTTTTTATATATAATGCTAATGATAAAAAATAAAGAAGTAGAGCTATATTGATACTACAGGAAGATCTTTAATATGTATTAAGTTAAAAATGTTAGGCATGGAGGAGTAAAATCTCATATGAATTTTTAAAAAGCTTACAGATATTCACGTATTCTGGATAAAACATCTCCAAAGATTCAAAGAATCTGACTCTGGTTAATTATGAGAAATAGAAATGGAGAAGGGAGAGGCTTTTCATGTCTCTTTCCTCCTTCCTTTTCCCAAACTTACATATCATTTTTGGAAAAGAGGGAAGGAGAGAAGTAGGGAAGAGGGAAGAAAGGACGAAAAAAATGTTTTAAAGGTGATGCCTTTTACTCAGGATCCTAGGGCTGAAAGATGGCTCAGAGGTCACTCAGGCAGTTGCACTCCAGACACTGGAGTTCTGCTCAGCCTCACCAGTCAGCCTCTGCCTCACGACTGGACCTGGCTGGAGCTGGGATCCAGATTTCCAGGTCCCACAATTAATGTGGCTTCTTTAGCTGGACCTGCACTGTGGGCATCTGTGTGGATTTACAGGATCTCCTTGGAGACTTCACCACTAATTCTTCAAATGTGAATAGTCTGCTAGTTTAGACCTTTAACACGGTGAATTACCTGAAAGGCACTCCAAAAATCAATGCTAATGTCACTATTTTCCTTGTTAGGTTTTCTAAAAGAGCCCAAAACCAACCTTAGCCTTCCTTCTTTCTATTCATACTGGTTTGGGGATTTCCTGATGATTAGGAAAGACAAAGCTACCATAGCATTTCCTAAGGGGAAGACTGTTCTAGGGTGTGAACTAAAGGCAAACACAGCAGCTTACTAGGGAGGGAAGACCAGCAGTGGCAGTGGGCCTAGAACTACATGCTTTGTGCAGAGAGCTGTCAGCATTACAGAACTGAGACACAAGTGAAGGTCCTAGCTCCAGGGAGAAAACCCTCAGTTGTTCTGATTCATAGGGTGAGCACTTTATATTACAGTAGGTTGCAGAATATCTCCCATTCCAGATTCTGCGGATATTTACTGGTGCTCTTCACATTATAACTGAAGCAGACACAGGGAATGTTAAAGCAGGCAGGAGTTAATGAGAATAAACAGAAAAGAATGAATACTCCAAAAGAAAGGTTTACTCAAGGGAAGGAGATTATGTCTTCAGAGTAATCCGCACCAGAGAGCTATAAGTTACACATAGTAATGTGATATCTGTTTCCAAATCTCGTAAGGATGCTATTTTGAGGGAAATCACAAATACCCTTCGATAACTTGTGAAAAACACGAAATCATCTTCCCTGCATCTCCTCAGTTGGAGATGAGCTTCTCTTGCATAGCTTTAATACTGTCACAAGTGCTGTATGGGGAGCCAGTGAGCCTGATCCTTGATCCTTGGTGCTAGTCTCTTGGGCAAGGTTCTTGGTTCCTTGGAACCTTGGTCTCACTGTGTGTGAAATGGGATGATAACTCACAAACCTCTTGAGCAGATTTAAGGATTCACATCAAGACAATGACGGCCAGATGGCTAATATAATAAACAAGTCTGCAGAAATGTTAGCTATCTTTCACTAGCCCCCTCAACCACATAAAATGAATTTTTCCTTTTTATCATTATAAAAAATGACCTACTGGGTATACATAAAAATCAATAAATCATTTCTGAAGCAATGGAAGCATTCTCCAGGGATATAAATAATTTTCAGGGGCTGGGGATTTAGCTCAGCAGCACAAGCACCTGTCTGACAAACATGGGGTCATGAGTTCAATACCTGGCACCTAAATAAATAAATAAATAAATTTCAGTTAAGAATTTAGCAGTAAAAGAGTAAATTCTAGATTATGTAAAGTCTTTAGTGAGAATATTTGCAGTCTGTTTAATAAGCTTTAATTTGTGTGTATCAGAATCTCTGGTGTCAGAATATCAGTAACATCTTACAATAGCTCACAGCACGTTTTTCTAAAAACACGCATGGTATTGTAGTAATGTATGAGAATAGAAGCCAAGTGCCGGCTTCCACACAATCTGATACAGACACCATAAACAGGAAAGATAGAAACCTGGACAAGGCTGTGAGTTTCCTATGTCTCAGGCAGGTTCTGCCCTTCACAGAAAGGATGCACGCAAGGAAGGAGAGGGAGGGAGGCGGGAAGAAGGGGAAAGAGTGAAAGCCTGCGATGCAGAAATGGCTTAGCAGAGGGAAGAGGAGGGTCGTTTGCAGAGCGAATTCAAGATAAATGAGAGGTATTTTCTGAGATGTGGGTACTGAGCAAACAGGGACCTTGATGTAAACACATACCGTCTTAGCTGGGAGGATGCCTGGATGGGACTGAGAGGAGAAGTATAGAAAGCTAAACATTTAAAAACATTTTTTTAAAAAGACAATGAAAATAGTAATAATTATGAAATATTTGCTGAACATGACGTCAGTACCCATTAAGGCAGAGATTATTATCTTGGTGAATCTCAAAAAGCCTTAAAATACATTCCTAATACACTCTCCAGGCAAAACAGGAAGAAGAATATTCTCAGCCTTTATGAACAAAACCATAAGAAATAATCTCCCTATGATTGGGAAACAGTTCTCTGAACTGTTCCTCAGCATCACAGTAGAACTCCTAGTCTGTGTGACACTATGAGAAAAGACACACACAGACTGGAGAGGGAGATATAAACTTGCCTGTTCTCAGAAGACATACCTTCTCCATAGACTGTTCCAATCTCCAAAAAACAAACAGGCTTCTGTCAGTCCCTAGTGAGGGAGGTGAGCTTACATGCCAGGTCAAATTACAAAAATCAACTATATTTCTGTAACTTGGCAATGAAGAACTAGAATCTAATGAGAGGATCTGAGAGAGAGGAGGTTAAGGATAACTGAAATCTTTGCTGCACTGGTTAGAGGAAGCAAGGAAGAACTTAAAAATAGTTCTCACGCATCTGAGCA